GACATATGTGAAGTCTATTATCTTGCACACCAAATCTCAGTAGCCTTCTGGGACATCAATTACCAATAAAGCAGAAGACATGATACAGTCTTCTACAGTGGTTAGGTGTGCAGCTTTTGTAATAATAATTTTAAAAAGATTGTAATGATTGAGTCTATTTGCTTCAAAGCTTTATATAATGTACCAGATAAAGTTTACCCTTTTTCTTCTCAGATCCCCCAATGTATGTATTTGATAGACACCCTATTGTAAACATTATTTTAATTTTTTATTATTTAAAAAAAAAATCACCCGAGATGCTCATTACTCCTGAGTGATAAAAGAAAGATTCAGGTACTATAAAATTATGGTAGGAAGGGGCTTACGAAAAGAAAAATGAGAAAAGAATCGTCAGATGGGGAAAACATGCTCTCCAAATGGAACTCTTTGCTAAGAGCCACAGATGCAATACCTTGAGCCTCAGGAGAGCTTTAATTAGGCCAGCTCTTTCTTCAGCGCATGCTCAGAAGCTCTGGCACTGACTGTAAATTAGGGCAAGAAAATCCAGCAGGGACCTGGGTGGGTTAAGGGGGAAGGGCAGGATCTTAAAGGGGCAATGACTATTTAAAAGAGCAATGCCGGTCAGCCTCACCGGTCCTGTCCACCACTACCAACCTACTCCACCTTCTGTGTTCCCTATCTCAGTTAATAGTATCTCCATTTTTCCAGTCATCAAGGCCAGAAACATAGGAGCCATTCCTGATTCCTCTCTCTTTTGCCTGTGCAAAATGCAGTCACTATCAATTTTTGAAATTTTACTTTAAATTTGACTTGACTTCTCCATCTATATTCTTCTTCTACTGGGTTAAGCCTTCAGGCCCTCCCTGGGTCTTGAGTGGGCCCTTACAACTGGTGCTATGTGCTTTTAATACTGCTGCCGAATCATCTCTTAAAAATCATGCTACTCCAGCTTAAAACATTCCATGGTTCCCATCACTTGTAGGAAAAAGTTCAAGCTCCTTAGTACTGCATACCTGGCCTTTATCAACCCATCATAGCTCATTCCTGACAGTCCCCAGCTTGCACTTCCTGTGCTCATAAGAGCCAACTGCTTTTAGCATAAATGTCCAATAGAAGAAGAATTTGTATATAAACTTGAAGGGAGTAAGATGAAATAACCCACTTTATACTCAACACGTTAATTTAGCTATAGCATATAAATATTAATTTATCGGTTTTTTTCATCCTCACACATCATGATGTCAAAGAAAAACTTTCAAAAGTTAAAAATATAACCCTTTTACCAATAGAGAATGAAAAGATTTTATTTTAATTGATGAAAGAACCAGTACTATGGTAAAGCTGGTTCTACGAGCAGGTGAGGAACTTGTAATTCCTAGAAAAAAAAAAAGAAAGTTAACAAGGAATTTCTAGATTTGATATTAAATGAGCTAATAATGGTTTATAGGGTAATGAAATAATGGATTATCTTTTCCATTGAACATAATCATTTACATGTCTACCTAACAAAAATCTACAAATTTACGTGTAAGCACGCCGTCTCTGGACTCGAATTCATAGTAGATACAAAGTTAAACACAAGTCCGTTCTCTTACTGAAGTAAGTGACCCTAGGGTGGGCCTGTTAAACAATGTTTTGTTCCCACCTTGCAAGGCCACACAGCCCTCTTCTTGCTTTCTTGTTATTTCCAAGTGTGGGAGAATTTTTCTGAACAGTTTTTAATAAAAACACTTCACATGAATCTTCCCTGTCAGTGTTTTAGCACCAAGCAGTAACTTCTTGAGTCACCTAAGGAAGTTTTCCAGCAAATAGCATCTTTATGTTCTCCTATGTTTTCTCAGATAAAGCATTCCTGGAATTGTTGGAGAGAAACAAAATTTCCCTTAGCCATCCTAGATTCTCTGGCTGGTCTAATAATAAGAAAAGATAGATTAACAGGAGAAAAACATTTAATTTCACACCTACAGGGAATATGAATATGAGATCCAAGTTCAAAGGAGGCAATTGGGACTGATATGCCATCCTGAACTAAGGAATGGGATCAGGACCAGGGCTTCAGGGGGTGAAGGGTGATTCATAGGACAGTAAGAAGAGCAGATATTTGGCAATTGGATGTTTGTCCTACATTATAGATAAGTCTTTCGGATAAAAAATTGTCTCTTAGGGGCGCCTGGGTGGCTCAGTCGGTTAAGCATCTGACTTTGGCTCGCGTCATGATCTCACGGTTTGTGAGTCTGAGTCCCGCGTCAGGCTCTGTGCTGACAGCTCAGAGCCTGGAACCTGCTTCAGATTCTGTGTCTCCCTCTCTCTCTGATCCTCCCCTGGTCATGCTCTCTCTCAAAAATGAATAAACGTAAAAAGTAATTTTTTTAAAATGATTTCTTAGTAATAGCTCTCTTCCTGGGCCAGGCCTATCTAAATTCTTTTAGGTAGTTTAAAGGAGGGGAAAATTTTTCTGGAGTTTGCTGTGCATTCAGCTAAAAATAGTTAACATGCCAAAGTGACACATTTTGGGGAGACTTGTTTTGAATCCCTTCAGAATCTTGTGTGGTTTCCTAGGAGTTTGAAAACAGATATATTAAATAACTATAAAGATTGTAGAACAGTATATAGTTATGAGGATGTTAAACATGTAAGTGTAACTAGCAAATTAATAATAATAATATAATAAAGCAATCTATAGGCCTCTAAAATAGCAAGAAGAGTGAAAGGCAGGATGAAAATAGCTTTCAGGCTCCAACAGATGGCCAAGAAGAAGAAAAAAAAAAGATGGCGAACAGAAAATACTAAATGAAATGGTAGAAAACAATTCCAAATATATCACTCACAATAAATATAAATGGATTTAACTCACATGTTAAAGGACAAAGACTATCAAATCAGATGGACAAAAAAAAATCCTCCCTCTCTAAACATTTTTAACAAATAGTAAAAACAAAAGGATGAAAATAAAGATTACAAGGAAAACATTAAAAAACCCTTATGTTGCAATATTAACATTAGACAAAATAAAAATGAAGACAAAAAGCATTAAAAAGAGGAAAGAGCTATTTTATCATGATAAAAGGAATGAGTCAATTGGTACTTTTATGTACCTATAGAAATAAAACTTGATAAAAACTCAAACATTTTGGCAGATTTTGACACATTTTTAAAAAATTGATATATCCAGTAGTAGTACACATTACGTGCTTACAATTAACATGCTTCATCTAATATATAGAGACTCTTGCATGCAAGCAAATGGAGAGTATTTTCAATACATTCAATCCATTTTTCCAAAATGACTACATTCTTGTCATTTTAGAAAACGAATGTCCAAGATTTAATATCATCTGGGTTCACAAAGCATTTAAATCAGTAATCAACAATAAAAGGGTGGTTTAAAAATAGCAACAACTTTTACTTGGAAACTAAAAAAAGAAAAGGCAAGAAAAAGGAAGAAAGCATTAACAAGTAAGGTAGTGGTTTGAAGAGTATATTACAATGTCCTGGAATATTCAGAACTAAAGGCAACAGAAGCCACACCACGACAAAACTTATAGGACAGAGCAAAGAGAAATGCATAGCCTGAAATGTAATTATTCTTTAAAAAGTAAAATTAGGGGCATCTGGGCTGCTCGGTCCGTTAAGCATCATTTCTGCTCAGGTCATGATCTCACAGTTGTTTGTGAGATACAGTCCCGTGTCAGGCAGGCTCTGATCCCACCGGACCTGCTTGGGATTCTCTCTCCCTCTCCTTCAAAATAAATAAATAAGCATTTTTTAAAACAGTAAAATTTAAAGCAAATAAGCTAAACTTTCAAGTCATGTAGCTAATAAAAGAAATACAGAGTAACAAAAGTAGCTAACGGTGAAAAGAATTCGCACAAGCCACAAAATAGAAAAGAAACGCAGGAAGAAAAACCACAAAAACTGGTTCTTCAAAACACGAATAAACTCCAGCATGACTGATAAAAGTGAACAATAAATATAAACAATATTAAGAATGAAAAACAGAACAGAAATACAACTAGAGTGTGAGTTTATAAAAGCCTATGAGAACAAGATGAACAATTACAAAACCAAAAAAAATTCTCGATTTAAATAGCATTTTCAAAACCTACAAGTAATTTAAGAACACAAAGCCACAGAAGTATATCTGATATTTCTATCTCTGTAATAGAGGGATTCCCGCCGAGACAAGGCAGTCCAGACGGTTTAAAGGAGAGTTATTTATACCAAACATTTCCAACTCATTTTGCTAAGCTGCTCTGTATGATCTTCATGCCAAATGCAAACAGGGACAGTAGAAGAAAGCAAGCTTAGGCCCATCTCACTCTTTTAGATGTGAAAGCCTAGGAAAAACATGAGCCGCTCTCTCTCTGTCCACAATGCATTGAGGGTCATGGCCTGGGCTAGGGAAAACTAGGCACTGTTAAAACCGACCTCAGGAGCGGCAGGAGTGAGGGGACTCGCAGGTAGGCGACCCCCTCCCTCCGCCCTGCCTCCTCTCCCCCAACCCTTCCAGTCTGGCAAATGCTGCTTATCCTACTAACTCCTTGGCACCCATCACCTCCTGGTTCACAGCTTAACCTTGGCTCTTTAGTGTTTCCTTTGTACCTCGTGCATATTTCTACTTGCAAATGAATCTCCCGGCTTTGCAAGAATGTGTTTATCTGTGACCGGCCCCCCCCCTCCAGCTAGCGCCGCGTGGGACGGGAAAGGCTGGCCAGCCTTCGTCTCCGAAACGCCCCCAACCCCTCGATTTGTACAAAGGGACAAACAATGCCGAGCCGCCACCGGTCCCCGGTAGTCACTCGCCCGCCCCAAGCAGGCCCGGGGATCTGCGCGGCAGCCGTTTCCGTGTTTCTCCATCGCAGAGGAGGCCTCAGCCCGCGCCCACTTCCTCTCTCCTCGCCCCCTCGCCGCGCGCACGCCAGCCCCTCTCCCACTCAGATCCCCTCGCCGCGCCGCGCGTGCACCCCGCCCGCGCACGCGCGCCGCCCCCGCGCCGGCTCTGCCCCCGCCCCGCCCCGCCCCTCCCCGGCCCCCGCTCCAGCTCCCGCTCTGTGCCGCGCTGCGGAGCCAAGCTGGGGCCGCCTGGCTGTGGCGATCATGGAGGTGGAGGAGGCGTTCCAGGCGGTGGGGGAGATGGGCATCTACCAGATGTACCTGTGCTTCCTGCTGGCCGTGCTGCTGCAGGTGAGTCCCCCTCCGCCCCCAGCGCCCCGCGGCCCCGCCTCCCGCCGATCCCCCGAGGAGCCCGCCCGCAGCCGAGGCTCGGCAAACCCCCGGGAAGGAGGGAGGGAGCGAGCCCCCCGCCTGGGCCCCGGCACAAGGTCTCCGGCAGGCCTGGCCTGCGGTGTCCGCCCCAGCCTCCGATCCTAACCCGGGGCCGTTCCGCCGGGCCCACCCACCCTGCCACCTCGAGTGGGAGAAGGAGTGGGGGCTGGTTGGGGGGCACTTCAGCCCCGGATGAGCCGGTTATTGGTAGTGGATGCCGGGTTCCGCGGTTACTGGGAATGCGCCGCCGTGAATGCGTGGCCGAATGGTTACTCACCTGCGGCTCCGTCACCTTGGAATCTAGAGCACACAGAGCGTCCTCCCGGGTCACCCGCTGCCGCCACCCAAGGTCCGACCCAGAACGGCCTCCTTCGGTTCTGGGTGTCTGCTTGCTGTCTTTTCTTGGATGCCAGGGGGCTTTCGGTTCCAGGTGGATTCCATGCGTGGGGTTTATTTCTCCCTGGTTAAGTTCTGCTGGGTCATTCTGCCCAGAGGCCAGCCTCGGGGCTGAGACTCTTATAAATTGAATAATGCCATCTACAGTATGTGTAAGATTCAGTTATAAAATAGAATCATTTCTTCACCCTACAAAATTCTCACACACCACTTGCCCACCCCAGCCTAAAAATGGGGGTTTAGGATGCTCAAGGTCATTATAGATACACTTGGCCAGGCCAGAGTTACTCTTCCTTTGCCAGCCTAAATGGCCCATTTAATAACATCGATTACGTCTCCCAATATTCTAAAGGCGTTTCATTCACAAATTCTTTATTAGTATCTACTGTGAGTCCCTCATTTTACTGCTTCTTTGTTCAACACATACTGAATGTGTGCCTACTATTTGCTTAGCAGGGGCTACAGTGGTGGGCAAATCAAAGCCCCTTTTCCGTGAAAGCCTGAGAGCCCCTCATTCTAGTGGGGATGGGGTAAGGCAGGCAGACAGTTCAATAAATACAATTAGGGTGTGATGATAATTATTGTGAGGAAAGTACAGGGAAGTCATGAGCATAACCACCAGTTGCTTGAACCTGGCGTAAGGCAGTGGCTCAACAGGAAGATAGGGGTGGGGGAGGGGGAGAGTCACCTTACTGATTCTGTTTTCCATTAAAATGTTTGCAAGTTCAGTTGTTTTTATCACCAGCCAGAAGAGCTGTTCAAATGATGGACTGATAGATGATGTCAGACCTTTTTTCTAGCAAAGCACATTCTCAGTTCACAAATATGCAGAATTCTGAAGTTCTTTCAGTTCGTTGTTTCAGCTTTAACTGTAATTTTCCTGTGGGAAGAAAGTATTTCCTGAATCACAAAACAGTATTTAATACAGAGAGCATATAATTGTACCCATGATGCCTGGTGTTCATTTATAATACTTTTTCCTTGAGAAAATTCTTTCATTCATCTTCTAACCAAGAATTCCGGGAATATAATTCCTTTTCTGAACAATCCCATCTCCCCATGCCTCTACCCCACCTGTTGCCATTATCTTGTTACAGGCCTAGCCAGGGATCTGCTTACGTAGAATAAGTTTGTTTTGATGGAGTGTAGCACTAACAAGTCCTCTGTTCTGGGTGACTCAGTCAGTTAAGTGTCCCACTCTTGATTTCTGCTTAGGTCATGATCTCATGGTTTGTAGGTTCAAGCCCCACATCAGGCTCTGTGCTGACAGTGCAGAGCCTGCTTGGGATACTCTCTCTCTCTCTTTCTCTCTCTCTCCCTCTCTCTCCCTTCCTTCCTGCCCCTCTCCTGCCTGCGTGCTCTCTCTAAAAAATAAGTTTTTAAAAAGGCCACTGTTCTGGGTTCGAGACCTGTTGTTTTTCTCATTTACTTTTCTTCATGGCAGACCCAGTTAGTTAGAGTTTAGAGCTCTAAGTCCATGACCATGATTGTTCACTGATCCCTGCCTGACATGTGGTCAGTATTTGCCACTGGAGAACCAGGTCTTACGAGTATTGGGAATGAGTGAGTGTTTATCTTGTAGGTGTGGGGTGGGAATGAGTGAGTGTTTATCTTGTAGGTGTGGGCTGGGAGGCATCCTCTTGCTGTGTCTGTCCCAACAGCTCCCTCAGTCCAGGCACAAGTGAATCCTTCACAGCAGTACATATTCACGAGGACTCACGTGCCCCATTAAGATACTTGATCGAGGTGTTCTTGGGGTCACCCAGAGCTGTCCTGGATATGAGAGTGGACATCGACAAAGACTTCTCTTCCAAGTCTCTGGCTGGAGACGGCTTTGGCGAGGGCTGGCCTGGGTAGTGGGTGTAGGGGCCCCCAACACAGCTGTAACACGGTGCTTTCATCATCTTGTGCAAGTTGCTTCTTCCAGCAGAGAGAGAAAGCAGGAAGCCCTTTTCAGGGCTGGCTTAGATGGGAAGTTGATGTTTGCTTCAAGAACCAAAGCTCTGGGCACCTGGGTGACTCAGTCAGTTAAGCGTCTGACTCTTGATTTTGGCTCAGGCTCAGGTCAGTATCTCACGGCTCGTGAGTAGGCCCCGCGTCAGGCTCCACACTGACAGTGCAGAGCCTGCTCGGGATCCTCCCTGTTTCTCTCCCTGCTCCTCCTTTCCCCTTCTTTCAAAAATAAACTAAAAAAGAAGGAAAGAAAGAAAGAAAAAGAAACACCTGACTGTCTCAGTCGGTGGAGTGTGTGACTCTTGATCTTGATGTGAATTTAAATCCCGTATTGGGTATAGCGATTACTTAAAAAAAAATCTTCTAAAAACCAAAAACACCAAAGCCCTGATCTAGGTGGAACAGATGGACCAACTGCCTAGTAGCGCTGCCAGAGAGAGGGAGCCTTGCCGGAGAGCCCTGTACACTGTAGGTGGGGTGCCAGAGAGAGGGACAGCCAGACAGGGAGCCTCTGCTTCGTCAGGAAACTTTTCTGCACCTGCAGTTTGGTAATGACCAATCCCGGTCGAGAAACACAGAACTAGAGGAACAGAGATGGCAAATTCAGATCTTCTTGCATGTTCTTCCCTCTGGGTTTTATGATTATATTCATTTTTAATGGTTTTAACTCCCTTTACTTCGAAGAAATCCAAGTTCAATCTGAAAGGACAAAACCACATTACCAAGCCAACTCTGAAGGTCTTTTCACCGACTTCGTGGATCTTGGATAGCCATCATGTAGCCCATCAAAGGTTACCTCAGTTTCCTCACTGTTAGAGAGGAGATTAATCTTCATGTGCTTTGCAAACACAATCTTTGGAATCTCTATGGTGGTCACCTTTCAGATACATAAAGGATAGATGCAGATTTTATAGATTTCCCTTCATGTGCTGATGCAAATGCCCCCTGATAGTAGCGCTCGGTGGTTTGAAAGCATAGGGGCAGAAAGCTAAAGGAAAAGGGATCGCCTTAGGTAAAAATAGTTGTCTTATGAACACACAGCAATATTTACCATTTTGTAGTTCGGAAAACTCTTGCTCTCCAAATATATGTTCCCTCCTTTGGCCAAGATCTATTTAAACATGAATAATTCTGTGTAATTTATTCCCGTTTCTGTTTTCTGGTGGTAATTCAGAGTTGATGCCAGCCCCATCATTTTGTGTTTGCGTATGTGTAGGCTGCCAGGCCGTCTGTCCGGAGGAAGAAGGTTGGAATATGGTTCTTTGTTTCTTTTGAGACTTTTGGTCACAAATCGAAAATGGAACCAGCTTCTTTGTGTTCTAAGCCATAGACTCTGGCTCCTTCATTTTCCTGGGGATCACGCACCACAGACTGTAGTATAATTTGCACAGGATTTAAAACATGCACGAACCAATGGCGACACGTAACCTGTAACAGGCATTAGTTTCACCAGCACAAGTGTGATGTCATGGTGGACCCCAGCTTGAGGTACAGACTTCTGGTGTTCTGGAATGCATAATTTTAATGTAGGCTCTTACCAACCCCAACCTCATTTATCAGACCCTGGAGCTACCAGCGCCTTCAAATCGTTCACGCAATAAACATCTTTTCATGGTGGTTTCGAAAGTGGAATGATTGACTAGGTATTGTGGAGAAGAGGAAGGTGTGATAGCCAACACAGGAAAAGGTGTTTACCTTCAGTGGTCGTCTGGGACAGGCGTATTAAGATGCCTGTGAAATATCATTTCACACTTATTAGGTGAGCAGACATGAAATAGCCTAACGGTCCAGGTGTGCTGAAAATGAGCAGGGGCGGGAGCTGCACCGTTCAGAGACCAATTTGGCACCGTCTAGTAAAATTAAAGCCCAGCTTTAGACTCCTTGGTGTACGTCCTCCGATATTGCTGGCACGTGTGCATGAAGATATGGCTTGGGTGTTCACTGCAGCACTGTTTGTAATAACAAAAACTAGTAGCCACCTTAATGGCTCCCAAAAAGGGGCCAGGCAATTAAAATATGGGCTATAACAGTTGATGTGAATGAGCCAGATCTGTAAACAACTACAGGAATGAATTTCCAAAACACAATGTTAAGTGAAAAAAAAATAACGGGCATGATATACACAGTGTGACACATAAGTCTTACTAAAAATTGTAAAAACGTAGGGGCTCCCGGGTGGCTCTGTCGGTTGAGCACTTGACCCTTGATTTGGGCTCAGGTCTTGATTTTGGCTCAGGTCATGGACCCAGGGCCGTGGGATCAAGTCCTTCGCTTAGTACAGAGCCTGCCTCAGGTTCTCAGTCTTTCTCCCACTGCCCCTCTCCCCTACTTCCACGAGCACTCTCTCTAAAATAAAATCTTAAAAAATTATAAAAGCTTAGGAAACTATACCGTATTTGGTGTATCAGTGTATATGGACAGTGTAGAAGTATAAACGTATGGGGTAGGAGGCTCCACCCCAGTTCATGAGACTGGTTACCTCCAGGGAAGGAAGGGATGGGTGGGGGTGGGAAGGGTACAGAAGAGATTTGCTCTGTGTTCATAATCCAGCATTTTAAAGCTCTGAAGCA